GAACCCTACCCCCCCAATAAATATAGTAAATTCTAAACAATGTATCATTATGAAAGGAAGTGCTACAATTTCTTCATATTAATAATTGACGACGAAAAGCCGACAATAATCATTGCTTCAAATTTAAGTTGAAGTTTTCGTGGGACCGACGAAATTTACTTGCAACAGAGAGACGTTATATAAATGTGTGACAAAATTATGACATTAGTGTAAACATATAAGTATGACAGTCATTTTTTAACCTAATAGAAAATCATCGAAAATTTACATAAACAGAAAAAAAATTGAATGTGAGGATAGTGTAACGGTTATCGGCACGGAAAGAGGAATCGGCGTGCCGAGTTCAAATTCCGTTGAGTTTTCTGTACAATTTGGGAAAAACATGAATCCATATCTCTCCCCAGTTATGGGTTAAATATCAGGCTAGAATGCACTCTTTAACATTGGATGGCAGCTAGCCTCAGCTAAGGATTACTGTGAATTCAAAACCATGGATAAGGCAATAGGGAATCATTCCATTATCTTTCCCAGAGAGGTTATGGTAATTAACAGAGCATAGAAAGGAATATGTGGAGAGTCACTATCGCTTATGTCCTGAAGTGGAGTCGTGAACAGTTATACGATATGTTTCCTCTGATATAGCAGTGAATCCTCAAAGATGAAGAGACATGAAGCAACAGAAATGTGGTTCTACAGAAGGATACTGAAGATACCATAGACCGAATAAGGGAGCAACGACGAATTTTTGAAGAAAATGGAAACAAAAAGCAAACTTATACTTAACATCAGAAAGACAAAATCACAGGACATATTGAGTGCAAGAGGAAAACAACACATTACATACTTAGTGAGCTTGAGTAAATGGTGGATGGTGGAACACGGTTTAGGAGAAATAACAAAAAGACAAAAATTATTAATAGGTACGAAGAACAAGAACTTATGGAAAGACATGACCGCCTACATCCCGAGGGGACACGGCACATAAAGAAGAAGAAATATTTTCTAAGACTCGCTTAGCCTGATTTATTCGTTTTCTACGGCTTATCAACCCTTTGCCAGAAAATATTTTTAAGTTGCAAGAATTTTTTTTAAATAATAATGGTTTAGTGATACAAGTCTTACTAATTAACCCATAGCTTGGGGGAGAAGAGTTAGGTTCATACAATTTGTGCGTAAATGAATATATCGAACCTAACGGAGATTAGAACTCAGCTCTCCGATTAACTATACCGAGCCATTATTCATTACACCACCCTCACATCCGAGCTTACAGCACCTGGCATTCCCAAGCGGTTACTCATCTCGGTACTGACCAGGATTGACGTTGCTTAACTTCGGTGATCATCAACCGCTTAGTCTGACACAAGGTGACCACAGTAAGGAGATTCCGAGTGGGAATCAAACTTATGGCATTAGAAAACTGGTCTGTGAGACGAAATTTTTAAATATCACTCTACGGTAGACATTCATATATAATGAACTTTGTCATGAGACCAAAGCCATAAGAAAACTTAATGACTAACATGACTCTTCTTTAAAGACCAATTTACCAATGTCGGTACACTGGACAATCTTAAGGAAACCGAAGCACCCACTGTAGGAATGTAAGTTATTTGTACTCTGGAAAACATTACCCAATAGAACCGTACATAGGCAAATGAGATATATATGTGTGTGTGTCCACGAATAATGCGAATTCTAGAGTTACTGCAGGGACCAATCAGAACTTAGCCTGTCGGTTTTGGGCAGCGAAACTTACCCACACCACAGGGTAAAGACGATTCTACAAGATTTTTGTGGCAAAACGGGAGTCGTCTCCCAACAGCTGATGTGGTTAAAACAGAAGACAAGCCTGCGAGTTTTTCTTCGTTTATCAAGTCAAATGCGAAGGCAATTTGATGACAGTTATACACAAACTACACGTTCGAGCGCATTCGTTAGCAAATTGTTATATCCAAAACTTAGCTTAGGCTAGTTCCGCACAAGGCCATAATTATTGGGTACCCGTTGACGATGGAGCTCACTACTCAGTAGTAATGATCAACTAAACTAGCTTGTAAACAATTACCCACGCCGAGGTGGCCTTATTGGTGAGCCAGTTTTATCTTGCATTATTGCTGTAGTGAGTTCGATACTCACTGTGTGCCCCATACATTCTACATTGTATCAGACTAAGTGAAGCGCAGTAAATACCATATAACATAAGGTGTAAGAAGATAAACGTATTTTTCTAAAAATATTCTATTATAATCGTGTAAAATATTCATTTTGCTATATTTACAAAAATATATGAAAATGGATTCTATTGATCGCCTTATGAAGTGAATGTCTTGAATTCTTGAAAGATTTCTTCTCAAATATCAAGGAATAACGTTAATATTTATATAACTTTCAATTTTGACTAGGCGTTAACAACGTTTTCCTGTTATCGTCTGTGTAGATAAGATATTAATGTGTGTCAGTAGTTACGCGATGTGTACACTCAACCACTCTTCTCGAAGTAGTGTGGCATGCCAGTGATGAGACATTTAACAAGATATCTGACTGCGAGAGATAACAGGTGTTTTCATGTCTTTTCAAGAGCAAATTGATAGGTAGCTTCAACTGAAATTCGAATTCGGTTCGCCAGTTTGTGATATAGATGTGTATATACGTTCATTGATAAATAGGTACATGCAGCCAGAGAATAAGTACAAATTCACAATCGTAGAATACCCAATACGGATTGAATTTACTGCATTAAAATTGGTCTGCGAGACTAGGTAACTAACCACTGCTCCACTCACGTCGAAAGATAACATAAATAAAAGAGAGGCTTGGAAAAATATATTCGACGTTTGGTCACATTTTTGGGAAGAGGGTCGGGTCGAGAACTATCCAGTAACCATTCATATGTTTGTATTTGCTAACCTTTTTATATAGTCTAATGCAAGGAAATAAATATGAGACACCCAATGAGGATCGAAGACATTGCACGAGTAAATGTGTATGAGATTAGCTTGCTAAGCATTGCTCCACGGCGAAGCGTACAAAGAGAGAGTCAGAATTGAGTTTTAAAAAGTTTAAAAAGATTATACTCACTGCGTCGGAGTCTGTAACGGCCGGCTTTGTTATCCAGGGAAAATCCACACGAGGTACAGTAAATTTCAAGAGGCTAGCGGCTTTGGAAAGGAAAGCCATGCTGTAGAATGGAAATAGATACTTCAGTTAGATATATCGAGCTGTCTATCTTTATATGTGTATATTTCTTCTTTTTTTCCCCTGCTGTATGTCTTTCTTTCAGCACCTTAACGAAATTCCGGCAAAGAGTCAGGGAGAGAAGGAATGGGATATAGACAGAGAAATGAACGAGAGGATATGTAAGTAGACGAAGTGAAATTAAGTTGTGTAAATGAAGATTGAGTTGGGAAATTGAATAAAACACACCGAAAATCCATTCATTTTTCTTTCTCGAACAAGAATTGAAAGAGAAATATTAGTCAGTTAAAACTAACAAAAAAAAAAAAAATACAAAAAAAAAAAAACGGTCTTTCATAACCGTTTTTAAAAAAAGCGACTCGGAGAAAGCGAAAAACGAACGTCTCTTTTGAAACTTTTTTTTTCTTTCTTTTGGTATAAAATTAAGCAAAATAAGGGATTTACTTATGTAATTAATGAAAGGAAAGGGAAAAAATCAAATGCAATAAAACGACGGAACCCAACTCGGAAAGAAAGTTTGTTTTTCTATTTTTCATCTTTCATTTTTTTTTTCACTCGCCTATCAATATTTAAAAAAATTTCTTTTTTCCTTTCGTTTCGCACATTTAAGAGTCACGTTTTATAAATAACCGCAGCAAAAATGTCTGATTTCCTTGACTCGGTACAAGTACGTAGCTGGCCTCTTCTCCCGCTTATATCTTGTTAATGTTTGTACAGTGGAATTCGGACAGCCGTGTATGTCGACCCATCGGGCCCGTTATTGCCGACGTGTTTCGGAGTTCAGTGTATTTACTAATATTTATCTTTATCAACAATCATTACATCATCAACATCCCCCTCGCCGCCATCAGCATCATTTTCACTACCACCACTACCATTAACATTAAAAGAGGTTATATGAGTATTAGCAAATTACCTTATAGTAATAACAGTGATAATATTTTTTACAATGATGTTTACCCTGTACACAGTCCAAGAGGCACTCGAGGTAGAGGGTTAGAGAGTAAGATGCACAGTTTATGGGGATATGTAAATAAGATAACGGTTGACCCTAGATTTTAACAAGTTAAGATTGTAGTGATCGGGGAAGCATTCTCTTGGGAGTCTGTTCCACAAAGTAGCCGTTCGTGAGAAGAAGATGTTCGAGTGGAACTTACATCTCACCAATGGAATACAAAAAGAATTGGGGTGGTATGCAACAATATGCGTGGCATGTCAGGTTATAATCGTGAAGGTTAGAACTAGTGGAAATAAGGAGTGTAGTTCATCTGAACACATACAACTGAAAGACGGATATATCGTGGCTGAGAGAGTTGTGTCATTCCCAATGGCGACATTGTACGTTTAGGGAAAGATAAGTATGATGAAGGGTGATGTTCAAGGGAGGTAGGCATGAAAGATTGGTGTAACATTGTTCTTAGATTCAGCGAGCTGTCTACTAAGGATTCTGTGTATTTCCCAACAGTGTCATTAATCTGTGTGCAAACGCAGATTTAAATTTAAAAACATTAAGCCCATATCTCAAATACTGATTTTCCAAGTACTTGAAAGATTGGCGCAACATAATCTTCTACAATATTTCCCCACTGTGACATAGTAGACTAACATTATAAAAATATCAGTAGTAGATAGTGAAAAGTTTATGTCTTGGTTAAAATAACGCCAGTAACCTGTGTTCGAGCCCACCTATCAGAAGCAGGGATTTCTGTGACTGATTTTCAAGGACTCCCAGTTGAGAGAGCAGAACATTCCAATATTTATACCACTATTCCCTCACCGTTTGACCATGTGCGATACGAGGCTTACGGCCATATAACGCTGAAACATTGGTTCCCATACGATCACCGAAGTTAAGAAACGTCGAGCTCGGTTAGTACCTAGATGGGTGACCCCTTGATAATATCAGGTGGTGTAAGGTTGGGTGTGCAGGTTGTGTAATGGATAATAGCTCGGAATTGTTAATCGGGGAGCAGAGTTTCAATTTCAGTTGGGTTCGTTATATTCACTGACGCGCAAATAACCCACAGATGGGAGAGAAGAGACTAATTAGTAAAACTTGTATTGCTCAATCATTATTATCTAAAAACAATCTAAAAAAAAGTGAGAAGTGAATGTAATGACAAAGTACGCAGGTGTAGGCTTTAAGAAAGCTTTGTTCAGCTAAGAATACAAGGTTCGCGTATAGTGTCCTTTTATAGTCCCAGTAAATAGGAATGGTTCATTCAAAGAGGAGAGTAACAAAACAAGGGAGACCACTCTAGATCATTCATAACAGTGAATTCATGCATTTCCCAGATTCCCTTACTGGGAAGTAAACGCAGACATATCCAATTCATCGATACCGTTTCTCTTCTGGTGTTTGGACAAATATGGCTAGAAGCAGGGGTGGGAGTAGAAAAAATTGTGTTACGTCAATCTTTCAAGGAAGAAGGATCTGTCTACCTGCCTTAGAAATCAATATTTTAATTTTATGTGGGCTTCAATATTAACCAATGGCGCGACTGTGTCATACGCAACTACTACATCCACTAATTTGACTTGTAAAATACATTTACATAGCCATGTACTTATGTGGAATATTAAGTTTGAACTCACTGCAGTGGAAATATGGCGGCGGGACTTATTCCCCATGTCCATCTATATTTTCTTCTTTCCCTCTCCCTTAGCGAGAGAGCCTCTTGATTGTGTCATAGGGCAGAATACAGCGGCCTCTCTTTTTTTGAAGGTTGGACGGGCCCTACTAACATCAGTTATATTTACTTTGTTTGATATTTTGTTTGTTTTTGGTTTCATCCCCTCCCCTCTCATTGTCAATCAACAGATTTCTATGTATGACATTTTTATCATCATCAAATTTTTATATCACGCGGTGCATTTTGTAGGTCACCCTGAGAGGATGCGGTATTATGGTGTATGGAGGATTGATTGATGATAGATGAGTTCTTATGGTGAATGTGCAAATTGTAATGAGTAAATGGGTCGTGAATCAGATTAGCTAGATATAAGATAGTGAAAACCAGCCTCAACCCATTCCCCCTTTTCAGCCTTGTGCAATAATTGTATATTTTGTATGCAATAAATATCAATATGGCGACGGGACTAGTTTGCTAACTACTGCTTTATGGTGAAACGTTTATTTTAATTAGAATTATAAAATTTAATTTAGTACAAGTTACAATAGTGCGGTGCTCAGTAAAAATCGTACTCACTACACGAACAAATCATTGCCTACAGCGAGGCGTATAAGAGGTGTAAATTTATGGTCAAGATATTGTCTGTTTTTGTAACGATTTCATTCTGGTTATAGAAATGGTAGTTACCTTGATGATTTACTTTTAGTATCCAGGTAGAATTTTGAAGATGCGAATTAAGGTAGGCGGCGGGGAAGCAGACAGCGGAACGAAGCACGTGACCGCAAATCCATTTTTTTTTTTATTACTATCTTAACATCGGATCTCTCCTTTAGTCTCGTTTGTATTTCATTATCCTTCCCTTCTTTGCTTTCACTATCTCATTTTTTTAAAATCTTTTCCGTTTTTGCTTTCTCACACACATTTCTTTATCTTTTCCATTCTTCCTCTTTCTTTTTCAAATTCATTTTTATTCTGGCTTCCTCTCTCTCTCTCTGTCTCTCTCGATATTCAATTCAAAAGAAATCTTTCAAATGCTGAATTTTTATCACTTCTTTGTCCAATTTTTTAAATTATTTTTAATTATCTTTTCAGAACATTAGCGCTAAATAAAATGATCTGGAAGGACCTCCTTCCTCAATTTCACTAATAACCCAGTTGCCTATATACAGTGCTGACTAAAAGTGTAGTGACATGTTCTGAAGGTAGGTTGAAGCGTGAAACTGATAGTCACTATGCTGTGTTCATTCCTATGCCCCATCCACTGTTTATATCTATAAGCGCTCAATCTCCGATAGTGCAATACTTCCTCATAAATATAGCAAATTTTAAACCCAAACCCGTGGGTGGAATCAACGGACAACTTGCCAAAAAAAAACCAAAAAAAAACCCCAGAAAACTAAATACCCTCAAGCAAGATAAAAACTCGAACAAGGACAGCAAGAAGAAGGAAGAAAAAGATCTAAGAGTAAACACCTATCTACTAAGTACTTAATGCCTAGATTACCTAAACAGAGCAAAGACGTTTCATGACGTTAATTCCTATAACAGGATGGCCCTAGTCGTAACCCGAGTGTCCCCGTTCACGCGATCTCCAGACGATTTGAACGCCATATATATATATATATATATATATATATATATATATATATATATATATATGTGTATGTGTGTGTGTGTGTGTGTGTGAAATGGATTAAGTCTGACAATTATTTAATATATTTTTTCTGTTTATCCGTTATTTTTATAGACATAATTGAGTAAATGCTGTTTTTTAATTAAACTCTATTGATTACATTTACCGGTCTGAGTGTTCGAGGTTTCGTAGAAAATATGCGCTCTCCGACAGGAATTGTATATTTTCTACGAAATTTCTCGAACATTCAGGCCGGTAAATGTAATTAATACCGTTTAATTAAAAAAACAAAAACAAAAAACATTTACTTAAATTATATCTATAAAAATAATGTATAAGCAGAATATATATATATATATATATATATATATACTAGCAGTATAACCTGTCTTCGATCGAGTCTTTCATTACTGGGAATTTTTGCGTTCACTCGGAGCAGTTTAAGTTTAAAGTCAGCTCAACCGAAAATCAGTATTAGTAACAACAATTGGGTACAACTGAGGTACATTCCCCAAATGGGGTGGGGTGGGGGGTTAATAATTTGAATGGGTCAGGGTGGCCCAGAAAAGGGCCGTTTTTGCGTTCTCAATCTTGTTTCAGCCTCACGCGCAGCAGCAGTTGAAGAAGTGTTTCTCCTCAGCCGTTGAGTCCTTTGATCATCATTTTCAGCCTCGCGCTCAGAAGCGTGCAGGTATGCTTTTCTGGAAAGCCGATGGCTACGTTGATCTTCAGAATCAGTGGCTCTGATTGAAGCATTCCTAGAGGCATTTTGAAACAGGCTAATTGAACTTTCTAAAGACAATTCGTTATCTCTTATTCGCATGACGGACCTGGCCGTAGCGGTTTTGCGACCTAGGCAAGTTCTTTTCTTTGGTGGCATGTATGAATTGTCAAATGGAATACGTAGGCAAATACCAGAAGAGAACACTGTAAAGCTACAGGGATCACTAAGCTCGAATAACTTTAGCAAAGTTTGGAAGAATAAATGTTGAGTAATAAAAAAGCAAGCTTACTTATTACTACGGTGAATGTAATGCAAAAACTGGTAAGACAATAAAAAATTTAAAATGGGAACGGCTATAAACAACAATGAGAGAGGCTGAAACCTTGGCCAAGAGAAGAGGAATGTGTTAGCAGGGCTGGACGTACAGAAGTAGAAGCGGAATTGCGGAATTAAGCGATAGCAATGAGCTTAGGACTGCGTAGACAATCAGTATGACACGGCAACATTTGACTGGACCTATAAACGGGCTTCGTGCAGCAAATGAGCAACTCGAACAGGTGTCGCGTTCCGCAGGTCATGCGTATTCGCGTGCATCAGCGCGTGTCACATCGCGTGAGACAGGAAGTGTTGCAGGACCACACGTACCCGCGTTGTCGCACGCGCTAATTATCAAGGTCAGCAGCAACCGAAGTGCAACGTGTGGAGGTGTGAATCACGCCCACACAGCATGGGCTAGCATTGGGAGGTTATGTGTGAAAAAGTAAATTAAATTTTGCCTTTTATTCTTGGGCAAAGTGTAAAAAAATCAGTTTTTTTTTCGATTTTTCACCTTCAAGGTTGTAATTTTTTTTTCAGACAATTTGGACTCAAAACCAGCACTGAAGAATTATCTATCAAACAAAAAAATTTTATCGAAATCGGATGAAAACTGTGAAAACGCATAAACAACATCCGATCGCGCGCGCGCGCACACACACACACATGTACACGCACACACATTTTGAGAATTATAGATATAGATAATATTATTGTAATTATTTAAGCTATTTATTTTTTATGAAAGATATATATCTAAGAACAGATAGTAAATAGTAAAATGTTGCTGAGAGTTATAATGGGCAGGAAGTAGTGGAGAGCCATTGTCGCCAACAATTTGGACGCAAAACCGGCACTGAAGAATTATCTATCAAACAAAAAAATTTCATCGAACTCGGATGAAAACTGTGGAAACGCATAAACAACATCTGATCACACACACACATATTTTGAGAATTATATATAGAATTATATATGTGTTGTGTGTGTGAGAGAGAGAGAGAGAGAGAGAGAGAGAGAGAGAGAGAGAGAGAGAGAGAGAGAGAGAGAGAATGTAATATTATATTTAAGTAAAATCGATATATATTTTTCTACATTAATTATTAAACCAAGTAGTCAGTACATGCCCATTGCAATAACCTCAGGGAGTTGTATCGCCTGCATCAAAAGCCGATAAAAGTAAGCAACATTTGCTTCTACGTAAACGTACATATGTTGGACTATATTAATCTAACCTTGTGTCGTATTTGGCTGCGTCGCTAGGCAAATATATACCATTTTAATCGACCTTTATTCGATGAAATCGTTTATTTTATGCATGCTTTGGTGGGGTGGGGGCAGTCTGACGTAGTCGCGTCCTTTCCCTCAGAATCAATGGTTGACGTTGGTATATAAACCAATATTTGGAATGGTGATTTTTAAGGCTGGCAGACAGGACTTCCTTATCTGTTGGATCAGCACTTCGCAATTTCCCTCATCGTCTGTGACCCTCACCCACACCCCAAATAACATTTGACCTTTTTTTGCCGGATCAAGGAAAGCTATGTCAATCTCTCTCTCTCTCTCTCCCCCCATTCCCCTCTCTTGATTCACCTACTTTTATTCGTTGC